TTAATTACTCAACCCGTGTTTCGTCTTTTGTTTCTCCATGTTTTATTAACAGTATTTTTGGTTTGGTGATAGTAGCAACGGTTTTCATATTTTCGTTAACACAAAGTCGTGCCAAAATGTCCTCTCAAAGAAAGTTCTTCCTGCTATGGGATATTTTACGTTTAGGTAACACGGGAACAGTATTCAGGCGAGAGCTTCCGTCCCTCCCCCCTCTTCCGCGTTTTTCTTTTCCGGGAGTGGCTGAAAGCACCAGAGATACGGGACGTAATCGTCTCCGGGGAAGGGGGGGCAGGGGCAGCGGGCTGGGCTCTCCGCTGGCCAATCCTTGGTCAGGGCGGGCTTTTTCAACACTTAAAGCTCCTTTTCTTTCTCGTCGTGAACAAAAGGAATGGGAGAGCTCAAGGCTATTTTCAGGTCACTAAGCGAAACCCTCCTCTCCTCCCCCAATCAGACTAAAACATTTAAAGGGACACTTTAAAAGAAATAATACAATAGATTAGACATGGCTCAGTAGTAGCGAGCCTGGCAACTACATTACTTTTGTTACAAAATATATACCTAAAAAAACATACATCCGATTTTTATCAAATCAGTATTATAAAACATTGCTTCCTGGTAGTCAAACCAATTACTCGGCAGAAAGATGTTAAAGTCTACACTTTATCCTAAAGTCGCCGCGTTATACCGTGCTCGTCAGTAGTTCTTTCGGTAACCGTAGGGGGAAAAAGACACAATTGACCTCTGACGACTTACGAATTATTGGATCCTTTCCGCAGGTTACCGTCGGCGTCGGTGCCTCAGCTCCTTTAAGAAAAGTGTGGGTGGCTCTTAAAAGAGCCGTTGGATAACAAAATATGTAGAGCAGGTCTCTTCTGGGGTAACTTACTTCTTTTTGGGCGCTGCCTTCTTTGCCTTGGCCGCTTTAGGCTTGGCCGCCTTAGGCTTAGCCGCCTTAGGCTTCACCGCCTTTGCCTTGGCTGGGCTCTTCGCTGCCTTCTTGGGACGGCCAGTTTTAGTCGCTTTCTTGGGGCTCTTGGCAGGTTTCTTGGCCGCAGCAGCCGCCGGCTTCTTGGCTTTCTTGGGGCTCTTCTTCACCGCGGCCGCCTTCTTGGGCTTCTTGGCGGCGCTGGCAGGTTTCTTGGCCGCCGGCTTTTTAGGCTTAGCTGCAGCTGCCCGCTTCTTGGGGGCTTTTTCCTTCACTTCACCAGGCTTCTTATTTAAGCGGAAAGAACCGGAAGCACCGGTGCCCTTTGTCTGCACCAAGGTGCCCTTGCTAACGAGGCTC